CCCTTCTCGGTCCCCAAAGTAGTACGGCACCCGTAGAAAAAGGACCATAAAGGGACTCTAATTTAGAGAACTATCCAAATACGCAAGGAGTTGTTCTGACGCAGGGTTCTCTTGCCCTTTTAGATACTCAGTAGTTGTGACCCCAAGCGGCCCTCTGTCGGAGGACATGCCTCTGTAAACCCCGAAAGAGGAAATACCCTACCCTGAACCCTAAACCCCAAACAAGGGTAACAAAAACCGTAAACCCTAGACCCCAGAAAAGGGTAACAAAACCCCTAAGCATTAATTAAACCACAAACAATGGCAACAAAAACCCTAAACCCTAAACCCCAAACAAAGAAATACACTGAAACTTAATTTCCAAGCTCCGAGGCACTGGGATCGAGACGCCAAGTCGCGGCATAGGCGCGCCTTGGGCTTAGGGTCTTTAGGGCTTGGGGTTTGGGTTTAGAGTGTAGGGATGCAGATGCAAAGTTCAGGGTTCAAGGTTGGTGTTCAAGATTGAAGATAAGGGCTTCAGGGTTTGTGGCTTCGGACTGAAGTGATCCAGCGGTTTAGGGGCTCAAAGCGTTTGGGAGTTCAAGGGTTTAGGCTTGATCTAAGTAACCTCTTCCAGGAGCATTGCAATTTCAAGCTGGAAAGAGGTAAGAGAGCAGAGTGCTTGAACAGCTGCGTGAAAGGACCCTATGACCTATGAAGCCCTTGTATGAATCTCAAGATCCTAGAAGGCTTACAGGAAGCTTATATTGCCCCTTGCAGTAGTAGAATCACCCCGAAGGGGCCCTCCTTGGGCAAAGGTGCGCGTCTGAGAGAGGGAGGTCAGCCGACTCCTGGCTCCGGTAGCTGCAGAGCTCCTGTTTCTCGGGCCGGGAAGCGAGGAAGTGGTGTGGGGCTGAAGGATTAGGGGCTTCGGGTTTGCAGTGTAGGGGTTCAGGGCTTTGGGGCGAAGGGTTTGGGGTTGCAGGGTGTTGGGTTTTGGGCTTAGGGCCTATACGGGGTCGATAGCCGGGGATCTGTGCAGGTAAATAAGAGCAACAGCCAACAGGCCATGGGATGGATGGGCTGAGAAGGGGTGGGGACCCCAGTGAGTGGGGAAGCAAGCAAGGAGAGTACACACGGTGCTGAAAGAAACAAGCGAGTGCACGGTTGCTATCTGTACCGCTGATATTTGCCGATGCCCGCTCAACCATCAGGGATTCTGAGTCCCTCAGCAGATCATCACAACTTTCGCATCGGCACGGCTTTGGTCATGCACCTTCCCAACATCCTTTCAAGAGGTAGAACCTTCACGTTCACCCAGGGGTCCTTGAAAAAGCTTGCTGGAGTGCCAGGCAGAGCAGGCCGATCCTGCAAACTAGGCAGAACGAACAAGCTCGTACAGCTCGGGGATTCAGCTGAAACAGAAGGTCCCGCGCTGCCGGGTTCAGGCAGCATTCAGGGTTCAGCATGCTCGGGGCTCTCGACCCGAGTTTCGTCCATGTTCGGCCATGCCGTGCAACCCAAACATTTGGCTCCAAGCACTTCCTACGAATAGCGAAGCCGGTGCTTCAACAGATTCTCATCCCCTCAAAGCCTTTCGAAATGCCATGAACGCCCATAGTAGTGCACACACCCAGAACCCCAACCTTCCTTCCGCTTCCAAGAAAGAGACCTTTCATCCCCGATACGTCCTGCGGCAGCCAGCACACACGCTGCCGCCATTCCTTGCAGTGTTTCTTGCAGTGTGGAACTATTGGGAACCCATGATTCCCGCTTCCCGCCCTCGAAGAAACACAGAACTGGACCTATACAACCCGTATTCACTAACCAAAACCTCACCAACAAGCCCCAGACGCAAACAAAAAACCATGAAAACGAAGTGGCTCCTGAGTTTGAAAATCTCCAAAGAGAATTTAAAACAACAAAAAAGTCATTCATCTCACAACAAACCTACTCTAACCCTTGTAGTACCCTCATAGAACACCCTAAAACCCTAAACCCTAAACCCCAAACCCTAAACCCTAAAGCCCTAAGCCCTAAACCCTAAAGCCCTAAACCCTCAACCCAAAAACCCCAAACCCTAAAGCCC